CCCCACCCCCCTCCCCACCTGCCATGGCAAGGGCCAGGAGAGCGGAGAGTGCCGGGATGCCGAGGGTGCTCGAGGCGAGGAAGAGGAGGAGGAGGATGGCTGCACGGGGCCACGTGGGCACCAGGAACGCAGACAGCAAGATGAAGCAGGAGCCATGGAGGGTGGAGATGGCACCTGGGCTGCTACCTGCTGGACAAGGACCAAGATCCTGGTGTCCGCACCCACCAGCACCCAGCCGCCCTCCAGCACCCATCCCCAGCTCACCGGCCGCGTCGAGGACGGCATGGAGGTTCTGCAGATGTTTCTCCAGCTGGCTTCTTGCACCCTCCATGGCCGCCAGCATCAGCTCCAGGCTCAGGCTGCTGTGCTGCAGCTTCTCCATCACCTCCTCCATCCGGCGCTGCTGGGCCAGGAGAAGGGCCAGGTCGCTCTCTGCACGCAGAGGAGATGGACACGGTGTTGGGATGAGCTGGGGAAGCTGCACCCAGGGGTGTCCTGGTGGAAAAAAAGCTGGGAATGGGGTGTGCCGTGTTCCTACCTAGTTGGGAATAGATGTCCCGAGCTCTTTCCTGCATGTGGAGGAGGTCAGATGGGACAACCCAGGGTCCTGTGGCCCCATGGCTACTCACGTTCCCTGTAGAGAGGCACAAGAGGTTGGGTCCCAAATCCCAGGTCTGCACCCCATGCCGCCCCCTAAACCCCGAGTCCCAGGTCTCCACCCCAGATCTCCTCCTGCACCCCAGATCCCAGGTCTGCATCCAGGTCTGCACCCCAGATGTCGTCCTGCACCCCAAGCCCCAGGTTTGCACCCCAGATCCCAGGTCTGCACCCAGGTCTGTACCCACACCTCTCCCTGCACCCCAGATCTCCTCCTGCACCCCAGATCCCAGGTCTGCACCCCATGTCACCCCCTAAACGCCAAATCCCAGATCTGCACCCCAGGTCTGCACCCCAGATGACCTCCTGCACCCCAGATCCTAGCTCTGCACCCCAGGTCTCCCCCTGCACCCCAAATCCCAGGTCTGCATCCAGGTCAGCACCCCACACCGATCCCTGCACCCTAGATCTCCTCCTGCACCCCAAATCTCAGCTCTGCACCCCAGGTCTGCTCCCCAGAGCTCCTCCTGCACCCAAAATCGCAGCTCTGCACCCCATATCTCCTCCTGTACCCCAAGCCCCAGGTTTGCACTTCACATCCCAGGTCTGCACCCAGGTTTGTACCTCACACCTCTCCCTGCACCCCAGCTCTGCACCCCATATCTCCTCCTGCACCCCAGATCCCAGCTCTGCACCAGGACAGGGGGACGTAGCAGCATCCTGGCGTGGTGGCTCTCACCCACGAGCTCGGCCACGCGGCGTTGCCCACCGGCGATGAGGGGCTCGTCCAGCGC